GAATAGGTACTAATGGAACATAAATCGTTTCTAAGTACGGAAAGGAATTAAGTTTCCACCGGAAGAGCAAAAAAACTACTTTAATTTTCTTACCACATGTATATGGATCCCCTGGTTAATACCGATGCACCAAGATAAAGTTTGTCTATCCAACGTCTGTTCAGCTCCACCGTCCAAGGAAAAAGGAAGTGCTAGGCAAAGCTGACAGAAGTAGTAGGTCTGGACACAAGTACTTGGCGGTAGTTGTCAAAAGTTGGTAAAACTGTTTGCTTGATAAGAAATGAACACGGTTGCATGCTAAGATAAAATTCGCATGCGAGAAACAATACTGTTTGCGCAAACCGTTTAAGTTAGACAATTTTAAGCAAAAATAACTAATCTAATCGAACAAGCTTTTAAATAGGAGGTGTTTGAATTTCGTGAACGCTACAAAACGTATGGTCGAAATTGCTTGATTGCGAAATATATTGCTGGAAGTTCGAGTTCGATAATTGGCTTTTTTTGTTCTGCTTTATTGAAAGCCTTAGAAGCAAAACAAATTGGTAAGTCATTGCCGTTGTGGTTTTGGCTTAAAATTGCACCGCATCCGGTTTTAGATGCGTCGACTGTAATTATGAATTCTTTGCTAAAGTCAGGATACTGTAAAAGTTTGGAAGCCATCAAAGAAGATTTAAGTTTTTCAAAAGCTTGTTCACAGGAGTTATCCCATTTAAATTCTACATTTTTTATGCTCAAACGATTTAAAGGTGCTGCCAGAGAAGCAAAGTCAGGTATAAACCGTCTATAATAGTTTGCAAATGCCACGAATCTTCGCACTGCGTCTTTATCGCAAGGCTTTGTGTACTTTTTAATGGCTTCTATTTTTGTATCATCTGGCAGTAGACCTCTTGATGAGCACTTGTGTTCTAAGAAAGATGTTATATCTCTAGAATTTTTATGTAATGGAATTTGGTGAAAACCAGAATACAGATCCAGAGTTGAAAAATATTTTGCTCTTCAAAGGTTATCTAAAATGTCGTCTATACGTGCTAACGGAAATTTGTCTGCAATTAGTTTTTTATTTACTGCTCGAAAGTCTACACACATACGGTACGATTTTTGACCAGTTGGATCTTTTTTCGGTACTAAAATTAGAGGACTGTTATAGTTGGACTAGCTTTCCTCTATTAAATTGTTTTTCAATAAATTATCGACTTGTTTGTTTATTTCTTCGCGTTGTGAATATGGCAATCTGTAGTTTTTTATGTAAACTGGTGTTTTGTCTGTCAGTCTCAATTTTTGTTCGTAAAAGTTGTTCAGAGTCATAAGGTCGGATTTCAAGGCAAATAAGTCGGAATATTTTGAGCAAAGATCAAACAATTTATTTTTAGCATAATTGGGTACTTGTTTTTCTAAAAAAGATTTTAGTTCTTCGATGCGTTTCGGTTCAGATGTGGTTTCGTTAATTTTGTAAACGTTGAAATTTGTTATGTCTTCGGTTTGAATATTGAAATTTCTTACGTATTTCACTTCGTCAGTAGTGTTTATTAGTTTTAGCATCGGGTTTTTCGTGTCAACGATATATTTCGCTGTAAAAACACCACTACAAACTTCCTGAGCGTCTACAAAAACAGGGTTTTTGGATTTACCCAAATTAAATAACCGAAAAACTTCGCATCTAGGTGGAATTACTAAGCTGTCGGTAGTAGTACCGTCCAAAATTGAAACGCTGATCCTTTCTGTCCCGAAACCAATTTTTATGCTATCGGGTGCATAGTTGATTATGCATTTGTTTATTTTTAAAAAGTCTTTTCCGAGTATGCCGTCCGAAGGAATGTTAAAGCTGTCATTTACAACGTGAAGAGTGTGCGGAATGGAAATGTCTGATACTACCAAATTTGTATTTATTGTGCCTAAGGTTTGGACCGTTTCTGATGTTACGCCCGTGATATTAATAATGTTATTGCTGTTTATTGCGGATTTGCTTGTTAGGCTTGAAAATTTTATAAGCGAAATGTCTGCTTGAGAGTCTACTAAAAAAGTGCATTGGTTGTGAGTATCACTACAATTTATTTCAATGAAATCGGAATAGTTGAGATTTAGGCAGTAAATGGATTTTTCGTCTGTAAAAGTTGTTAGATGTTTAAGTCTAGCTCCCCCAGTGCTCGCGCCTGAGGGGCTTCGGCGTTTAAAGTCCGAACATTGGCAGAATTTCGTGTATTTGAACGCGTATGATTGTTATTTCTACTGCTTGAAGCCTGACTGTTGTTACTATTATTTTAGTTATTTTTATTTATTATTGTAGTTATTTCGTCTATTACTGAAACTATTATTCCTATTCTGATTGTTGTTTCGATAGCTAGTATTGCCGCTGTGCCTGTTTTAATTGCCGTTAAACCTAAAATTGTTATTGTGATATCTGTAGTTATTGCTGACTCTATAACCTCCTCGAAAATTATTTGCTCGTATGGGACGTGACCTAAAAGACAACACCTGCCGCTCTTTTATTATATTGTCGTGCTCCACAATCATCTTCGCTACAACATCTTTCGAGTCGCTGAAGGTTGACGATGCTAGTATCGACTTTACCATATCTGAACGGCTGTTGAGCCTACAAACATTTATTGTTTGCTCGACTGCCATCTCGTGAGCTTTCGCTTGTGTCATTCGTTCAATAATAAGCGAACGCTCCAGGGAGTCTGCGAGCTCCTCTACCTGTTTCGCAAAATCTGAATAATTGCTGTTATGCACTTTCAAAGCTGCAATTTTACCAGCGACAACTTTCGAGTTATCTGGTTTTATTTTGTTTGACAGCGCTTCTTTAATTTGACTAACTGAGCTTATTTGCGTTGGTAGGGACTCGCGAGCTTTACCTTCAAGTTTGGATTTCAAAAATGCAATAAATGTTG